CTTCCGGTTCCGGTTTACTACTTCCGGTTTGGTTTCGGACCGGAAGTTTGATACCGTAATTCCGTTTCCGGTCGAGGTCCTGTTTCCGGGCAGTGCATATCCACATCCGTGTTCCCCATTTTGCCCCTTTGCGTATGCAATGTATATGCCCGCATCCGTGTTCCCATTTTGCCCCTTTGCGTATGCACCAGATTTGTTGCGCATCCCGCCGCCGCTGCAGAAAAATTGCATTCAATTTGGTACCAAAATCTCAGATTTCTACCAGGCGACCAGGAGCATGCAGCAAGCAGCCGCCGAATTCAAGCGAATATAAAAATGCTTATAACTTTTAAATTACTGGTCGTAGAGAAAAAATAAAAATGCAGAAATATGCAGAAACACATGGAGCATATTTTTATTAAAGAAAATATAAATTTGGATTTACCCAGGAATTTAGAAAAATAAAAAATGCGCCTCAAATCGCCCTTTTTTAAAGAAAATATCGAAAAACTCCAACCTTCATTACATACCTGCTCAAAAATCGAGATGTCATAAGTGTTATCATCATCCGCGAAGTAGAAGACGCCACTGGTCGCATTAGCGCGTATATAATCCAGACCGCGATTTCGATTCGAAACACCACGTGGTTTAGCCTTTTTCGTATTTTTATACTCATCCGGCATGGGTGCTGCGTTAAGTAGAAGAAATTCATAAAAGAAAAAATGGTCAAAAAATATTAAAAGGGCAGTGATGAAAGCAATAAAATTGTGAGTAATCAAATTGTGCGCAATTACGTAAAGTGAGATCGTGTAAGGGAGAAATAAAGAAGCAAAAGCTAATGATGAAAGGAATTCCTAATGGAGATACCAAAAGTATGCCACTAGCAAGTCATTTGGCACAATAACAGCAGCGTTGACACCGCGCACAGTCAGTTGGTCTTGTGACCCTGATAATATTGCGGCAAGGTATTCAAGTGCAAGAAAATGCATACAAATAATTAAAGAAGACACTACGCACAAAAGCACAAGCATATGGATTGTGTGCACAACTGCTCACATAGCAACATTTGCACATAAAAGGCATATATCTACAATAGATAGACTATAGTATACATGAACGATATAAGACTCACCCAAAAAGTACTCATAAGGCACACCAATGCGATTAAGTGTGTGTATCACCAGCGGCGACGTTTGATTCGCATCCTCAATCACGAGCCACAGCAAATTCACCACATGCTTCAGCGTGTAGCCGAGTCGTGTCAATTCCGCCAATTGCTCGGCGCGACGGTAAGTCGGTGTAATAATGTACAGTGGTGGCTGTTGAGATGCGAAAATGGGAAAAAAGTAAGTAAAAGTTATTTATGTGCTTTTCGTATTTGATATTCATTGAAAAATACTGATATACTATATGTGTGGTAGATATTTATAGCTATGCTAGTAAGTTGTTTGTATAGATGTGCTTATGTAAATAAATATACATATGTACAGTATATACATATATACATCGCTGGCAATAGGCTGTTAGGCTGGTTAGTAGATTGCCACGTTAGTCAGTTGTTTAAGTTGTGTTTTCATATTTTGATTGAGTTTTACGCAATTAGTTGGGCAGCTAGCAAGCAAAAGCCGCAAATAAGGAAAGTTATTTTTAAAAAAAGTGTATTTGAGAAAAGAACTTTAGCAAAAAGAAGAGCTATATTTTATATATGTATATAAACACTGAACAAAAAAGGGGAAGGAAATTACATTAGAATAGTCTAGTAATAATATCTGTTAGATTTGCAAGGGCTTAGAGCTGATTTCTATGAACTCTATAAAATAGTCTGGGTATAGACTTGATTTTCACGAGTCACAGGAAAGTTGCTGCTTTCATAAGAGCAGAAAGTAATGCAAGATGGGAAGATAAATATATGTGTACAAGCCTATCGTTTCATTAGTCTTAATATTTCTATAAAGCAAAGACCAAAAAAAGTTATTTCATATTTTTCTTTGTTAATATTCGAACCACGATCAGCATCGAAATGTTATTCTTAAGTTTTTCTGTTAGTGCAGCTAGTTCGATATAACCTCAAGTTCAATTTTGAACCGGACAAGTCCATATAAACTGCGTGTGCAAATCGCATGGATAAAAAATGTTTCCATGTTTGCTACCAAATTTTTTATGTTCATGAAAAGCAAGATCTGCCATGTCCTATCGGCTATATTCGCGTAAGCGGTGTGTACGCTAGTAATGAAGAAGAAGGTAGATCTAGATATGTCAATAAGTACATACATATATGTTTGCCAATTTTTATCTTAGAAAAAAGTTAACAACGAATTTCTCTGAATTTTTGTATTTCCATAGAATCACGGATTCGTAAATCTTTGTATGAAGAATTTAGAAGACGTTAAGAGATAGTTGTTAGTTGTTAGGTTAACGTCAAAGCGAGTATCGACTCATTTGTTAGCACAAATATGTTATTGGCAAAATATATTGCAATAAATAAAACTAAATATTTGAAAATCGAACATGCGAGCAAATTGCATTGCCATTTACAACAGTATTTACTTTTTTCCCCAATTATTACTACTATTATAATTAAATATTATTATTATTTGTGTTATGCTAATTCAATAAACGATTTGTGCTTTGCACATGCAATTCGTTGTCAGTGCTGCGCTCATTTGAGCATATACACACATAATATACATATGCACATAAACACTGTGCAATGGCACACAAGCAATTTTCAAATTAGGCGCATGCAAATGGGAAATTACTCGTACAAATGTAAATCGCTCTTTCGCTTAACTGCCTGCCACAGTTCATTTCATAGTCGGCAATCAAAGCCGCCGCACACATGCACCTCTACTTGCATAAAACTGAACTGCATTTGAATGCAGCTGCAAAATGCTTTTGTCTATTCTGGTAATTCGCTGCGTAGTTATGGTTACCCCAATGCATGCAAAGCTTTTCGGCTTTTCTGCTCTCAATTCCTCAATTTGCGCTTTCATTAGTTGCTTTATGTGTTAAGGTTTAGTAAATATGACAGTGACATTCGTCAGTAATTTTATACTTTAGTAAATAGCGTATAAAAGGCCTGTGCCGTTGAAGAATTGGCACAGAATTTTCTATACTGCATAAAGAGAATGCTATTCTTGACCTAATTTCTTGAAATTGGCGCAATTTTTATGCATAATATCACTGGCATAAGCGTAAATATACTTTTCTATGAATTTGGAGCTAGCTCATGAGGAAACTGTAATAATTTTTTGTAAACTAAAAATCTTGAATTTTATTTTAAAAGAAGAAAAAATTATAGCTTGGGTTACAGCGAAGCCCTAATAGCTTGAAAGTTCAATTTTTTTACAGCTTAAAAGGGTTCAAAAAAGTCTTTAGCTATATGCAAGGGTAGTATGATCTGAACCCTTTCTTCGATTTTTTAGCATTGGCTTTCAAAATAWTTTATGAAAAATTTTATGTTGATATGTTTTCAAACAAAAAAGTTTTCCTATGAAGAATTTGATTTTGAACGATCAGATCATGGATTATAGCATTGTCTTAGGCAATATTTCATGTAAAATTTTGTATAGATACCTGCTCAAATAAAAAAGTTTTCCATACAACGATTTGATTCTGATCGGTCACTTTGTAAGGCAGCTTTATACTATTATAGTCCGATTTGAATAATTTATTTGAAGATAGTAACCCTGTCTTGAACAATATTCTGAGCCAATATTTTTGAATAATATTTTGCCAAATACAAAAGTTTTCCATACAGGGGCTTGATTTTGATTGGCCAGTTTGTATGGCAGCTATATGCTGTTGTAACCCATCAATAATGTTTTCATACATTAAAGAAATGTCTTGGAAAATATTCTATGCCAATTTTATTTAAGAATATCTTAATAAATAAAAGAGTTTTCCATACAAAAACTAAATTTAAAGCGGCCAGTTTGTATGGCAGCTATAAACTTTAAAAATAAAGCTGTTAATTTAAAAAAAAAAGTTACTAAAATTAAAAAAAAGATTTCAATAAATAAAATTAAAATATTTATGAAGAAAAATATATATATAATATTGTATATAGAGCAGCTTTAAATGCGTGAGTCTTACACGCATACAGTGCGTATACGTAATATAATGTAATTTAATTTCAAAGTCATATGCGATAGTTTGTCCATGTAGAAATTATGTGTAAATTGCATGCAAAAATAAGCTTATTTCTAGAAAAAAAACTAACTAACTAAACTACTAGGGTTAGATAACTTTCTACCAACTACAAACTATAGGTGAATGAGTGAATATAAACCAATTAGCAATTTAGCAAAACAAGCAAGCGACATGCGGCAAAAACTAAGAACATAAACGTAAACTTCTAAGCAAATAAAGTGTTTTGCATGCGCGCAAGCCAAATATCAAAACAGTTTCCAATAAAAAGTGAGCATTGCAGCATTTTTCGGGCGAGTTAGGGCATTTTAAAGCAAGACAATACAAACAAAAAAAAAAAAACGAATATTTACGGGTAGCGCTATTGTGTCATTGGCAGTCATGCCGACAGCTGGACGCGTCACAATGCGCGCATTCGGCAGCGTTGAGTTTGCAGCATTTTCAACCGCATGCGTTGTGGCTATTGTACGAACTGTTGTTGTCGTTTTTGTTGTTGTYCTCGCATTTGTTGTGCTATTCAAAGTAGCAAGTGATGTTGAGCGCTTCCTCAAACTATCAACCGCTGCAACATTTTGCGCAATAAACTGCTGACGCGCGCTGCCGAGCGAGGCGTTCAACAAACGTGCTGACGTCACGCTTGCTGACAATGTGTGTGTTTTTRTGGATGKGGGTGTGACTGATACGAATGATGAAGATGAGTTTGATGTGGAAATATTATGCCGTGTTGTGGCTTGTAATGGTGATGATAACGGTTGTGCAGCTRCTCTAACTGTTAATGCTGTTGATTTTCTTTYCTTTGCCGCGGGTGCTGTTGTTACCGACTCACTCGACGTTGCATCTGATTGCCTCTCGCTGATTGATAGTTGTGTTTGTGCTTCTGGTGTTTGCACTTGTTGTTGCTGTTGTGGTTGTCGCGCACTAAATAGCGACATTGGTGACCATAAATATGAGTTATATTTGCGAGCGATAGCAACGACATCCGCATCGGCTAAAATATCCTTGTTCTGCAATAAAAAKAATCAAAACAAATTCAAATGGAAGAAATGACTGTAAGTGTAGTGATGAAATTATGAGCGAATAGTAGATAGATGAGAGTGTGCGGGTAGAAAAGATAAAGAGTGTAAGTAGAAGTAGTAAAGATAAGGAGAAAGTAGAAAGTAGAAAGATGCATAAGGATGAACATGAAAATGATATTATTAGTTGTATGAAATTCTTTTAATAAGATGATCACTTTTCATGATATTTGGAAACTGAACAACCAGCTAAAGGGTATGCTGATAATACAAAAGTTGTTTAATATGCATAGGTAATGTGTCTATTTGGTTTAGAAAACAAAATTTCGCAAGTGATGCTAGAATAAGTAGAAACACATTTATTAAACCTGTTTTGTCTATAGTTGTACTATACATAAATCAAATCCAGGTGCAAATATGTAACCCGCGTAATTACTATACTATATAATTGAACATTTTCACTACTGATTCAATAGATTTGGTGCAGTATACTAGGTAAGAAACATTCGCATCCAGTGCGGAGAAAAATCACTTAATATTGATGGTATAACTGAACTAAACACGCGTGTCTGGTTATAAGACATACCCCACATGTGTATGCTTGTCATATGGTATAGTTTTAACTATTTTATTGTATTTAATTGCGATATAACTTGTAAGTTTGACAATGCATGAACCCGAACGCTTTTTTAAAACTTATTAGCTACTTTCGATAGTATAAATAACTATATATTTATTATTATATATGTTTAATCATAAAATATATACATATGTGTATTTTCACTCTTTACTGACAAATTTTATTAAACAATATAGTATAATAATAACTATTTTATTAATAGCYTAGCCTTCTCACTCACCTTAATATATTTTGGCTGCGTTATTGGCTCTCGCGACAGATGATACTGATACAGCACCATGTAGATGCAGGTGGTCGCCACGAATATGGTGAGAAACATTTTTAATGATTTTGCTAACGCCATCTTTTCGCCTTTTTTGAACATTTCTATGTACGTATTTTATTTTAAGCGGTTATTTAGCAATGTATTGCTGGTGTTTGTGTGTGTCCAATATTGTTGCAATGTAGTATATGTATTTGTGTTTGCCTGTGTTGGACGCCGTCGTATTATTTAACTCATTAGTTATGGTTATTAATAAAAATTATTATTTTATATATAATATTCAAAATTTGTTTAATTTGTTTGCTTTGTCTAAACAAACATTTCACTGTTGTATTATTATATTCTTTTTTACTTTTAATAGATATTAAATTGTTGAAGTTTTTATTATTTATTTATRTAAATAGTGATGATTATTTTAGTTTTTATTTTAAGTTTTTAAATTTTTTTATATTTATTACGATTTTGTGCTTTAGTAAAAGTTATTATAGCAATGATATTATTTTAATAGAAATTTTTTTATTTTTTATTTAAAATTTTTAAAATTTCGCCTGTTGTTTGCGACGTTAATATTTTTTATATAATTTTTTAATATTATTTTATATATTTAATTTATTCCTTTTTAAAAACAAATGCTATCATGTTAAGCTGCTATGTTTCATATATTTAAATTATTATATTACATAGAATTATCGTTCTTCGTCTTTAATTTACAAAGTTTGTATTTAATATTATTTAACTTTTATTATTTACATACAATTTTGGATATATTTTGGTTAGTTTGAGGATCAGTCGAATACTTTTTATGATTGTGCGATTTTTTTACATTGGTCTTAATTATTTTTGAGCTTAAGTGTCTTGAAAAAACAAAAAAATAAACAATATAATTCAGTAGATTTTATAAATAATAATTAATTTTTTATTTTGAATTTTAAATGTACCTTTTTCACAGCGTTATATAACTAAACTCYCAATTTTAAATCTGGAAAGAGAAAAAAATAGTATTGTAGATATACGCAATAAATATTTAATTATAATAATAATATAAAATATTTATTATATATTAAATTATTATAATAAGGGTGGGTCAAAAAGTGATTTTTTTTCATTGTTTCTTRCTTGGAAGCATAGCTTCTTTGACACCAATTGAGACCATTTTTGTAKAGCAGTAAATTTCTAAAAAACTATGTTTTCTTTTTTKMRTTGAGTTAAAAATCGATAAAATAAAGTATTTAAAATAATCAAACTTCAACAGTTAATATCAAATGTGCTCATAAATTATTAAAAAATAAATAGATTTAGCCTTCTTACTAAATTAATATTATCACATTAAGTCATTATAATGAGACCTTAAAAATAGCAAAATTTTCAATCATAAATTCTCGAGTGGCAAGTAGCGAAAAAACCCATATTTATTAAAACATATTTTCTGATAATCTATAGTTTGTTATTATTTTAATTTCGGCGTTTTGTTACTTGTGACTCACGCCTAACGCATGTACGTGCATGCGTACTGTATTCCTTTAATGCTACATCTAAAGTTACGAATTGACCACTAGCTTTTATTTACTTGCTGATAAAGAAAATTGAAACTTGTAATTTGATTTTTTTACTTTTATCAATAAACGCTTTAATAGGCATTACATACGGCAAAACTGTGTCGTGTAAAATAATTGTTTATCTTAGATTGTAGTAGTTGCACAGTGGAACATTTCCTACATACTTGCGATAAAAAGTATACTATCTAATAAYGAATATGTGTCTGAACAATAATTTCATGAGCATTTAAGCAACTAATTGTTATTATTTGTTACACAAAACAAATAATAGAACTGTGCGCAATTGTGGGTAATTGAGAATGAATACAAATATTGGGTGTATAAAAAATATTTTTTGAAGCAAATATGTTGAAAATATAGTTTCTTTTTATTTAAAATTATTAAAAAATTAATTCCATATCAAAGTCGTAGTATGTCTGTTTTGAAGATCTGAAACTTGATATGTWATAGTAGTCCGATCAGAAAAATATGTTTGCAGCTTGTAGCCTTGCTTTGGATGATAATTTATGTAAAATTATATGAAGATAAGAAGAAATTAACAAAATGCATACAAGTACTCGAGTTTGGTTATTAGTTTGTATGGAAGCTATAAGTTAAAGTGATCCGATCTGGACAATTTATTCGGAGACTATAGTGTTACTTTGGATAATAATCTGTGTAAAATTTCATTAAAATATCGTGAAAAATAAATTTTTCTTTATAAGAAACTGATTTTKGTCCAATTTCAATGGAAGATATGTGTTGTATATTCCGATATTGGTGTTTTTGTTAAAATGGCAAGTTTTGAGAAAAATATTTCCGAYGTTTTCTCCTGGGTGTTACGTGTCCGGGGTATATATATATATAAATATTCGGAATCATGTGGAAACTTAAATTTATAGCCTCGTATATTTGTAAAGCAATAAGAAAACGAAAATTGATTACATAAACAAATTTTCATTGCCTCTTATACTACATTTATTAGATTCTCATTTTTTATATTGATATATATTCATAATAATATGTATAATTTATTTTTAAGTTTTTGACTGCATAATAATTTATAATTTCTTAAGTATTTTTAAATATCACTTCATGTTGAGTGCATGGTCAACTTATCTATAAAGAATGTGCGGATAAAAACTGATAGTTACGAAATTTGCAGCTCCAGTGCCAATCATTGAATACTTGATAATATAATCACACACATATTTATAAAATATAAATATTACTGGCATTAATGCCAGCAATACTTATGCAAAAAGGCAGCGCATAAGCAACTGACTTTAACTGACTGAAGGCAATTACTCGACTTTTGTGCTGCAATATGGGTCAKGGCCAATAAAAATAGGAAAAGCCAAGCATGTCTGTTATGCATAATTCACTTACTGCTGACCATTAAGGCGCGCTTGAATGGCGCTTACCAGCGCATACAACCGTATGCCTGGCTAATTTCTTAGCATAATTTTCTTTTTTATATTATTTATCAATACAGCAATGTTAGCCAACATTTTCACTAAGCGCCCCACATAATTTCTTTAATTTACGTACGACACTTGAAAAGCAAATAGAAAATATACGCAAAGAAATGTAAGCTGAACTTTATTAAATAATCATAATACTCATACGCCCTGTTGACCCACTTTTCACGCACACAAATTTCACTCTCAACTTAATTGCAAATGCCATTTGAGTTTAATTGCACTTTCACTCGCGGTCCCCACATAGCTACAAACCTAAAACTGTGCTTGTACACGAATATGTATGTGTGTGTGTTGTTTAGTGTCATGTAATTGCATGATCCTACACCGCGTCACGACGCGCCTGACACGATTGCGGTCCTGCGCTAAATGTCTATTAAATTATTTATTTATATATATATGTATGGATGTTCGTGTAAATATGTAGCCGTGCCGCGCAAGTTATTGTCTACCAAAGCTGCCACTCTGCGCCACACACAGCGCACCCACACCGTTATTGCACTGCAGTCCTGCAGCGCGCCAGCCAACCAACGCACACCAGCAAACAGCACACGGTCGACAGATTCACTACCAAACAAATGTCGGTTGGCATGTAAAACCAGCGCTGAGAGCGTCGGGCAGTCAGTAAAATGCAAAACAAAAACGCACAAATACCACCTTACAGCACAACGGCGCGTTGCTTGTGTGCAAAAAAAAATAAAATTGTAGAAAAGTGCATTTTCCATTTGCACATTTCCGCCCGCCCCAACCGCCTACGTGTAACTAACTGTATGGCATTGTAGGTCTGCCTGTGCCATCACAACTAAGCCATTTAACGAATGAGTTTCCTGTACACGAGCTGCAGCACGCATACACATACACACCCAAATGCTATATATTTGTATGTATCATGGTGCAAATCGGTTTAGAATAAACCTAGTAGTGTATTAAAATTCAATTCAATTCACCAGAGCATTCCACACCCACATTTCGGCCCTCTGTGTGTTGGCCGCATAAACGACCTCTACGCTAYAACTGCACGCTTATATAAGTTTTACCAAAAAATGCTTCAACGTGCTGACATATTTTAGCAAGGCAGTTATAGGGATAGCTGATACAATCTATGGGAAAGGCCAATTCGCAAAATTGACTATAAATACTTCCATTGATAGTTATTGCTGTGAATATCGACAACATCGTAGAAAACAATATTTATACCTTGAATGGAAAACRTCATAGACTCTAATCACCGTGATAAATTCGTCTGTCTTTTCTTGTCTCTCAGTTTTTGAGATATCGATCTAAAATTTTATATTAAAACTCCTCTCACATTTGAGTCATATTTKCTTTGTTATCTAACTGCTGGTTATTATGTTTCATGTGCCTTCAATTATTTGTTCAAAGTGCATACAAAGCTCCCTTTTAATCGTTCCCAGCGGWCATGGTACTGACTCCAAGGATTTGTCTAAAGAAGCTCCTTAGCATTGCCTGCTCGCCTGCCTTTTCATTGCCGAAAGGTCCCTGTGAGCCGGAGTTTATAATTTGAACGACACAAGTCACGATTACGCCAAGGATTAATTCCATATTCGAGTTKACTTGYCAGTGAGTTTAAAGCCCTCCTGCAGTTTTTGAATACATTGGAAATAGTCCTTGGCGTCATCAAAGCCAGAAATGGCTGGCTATTCGTGCGTATGTTTGCTATCTGACCAGACCTACTCTATACATATTACTTCCGCTTAGAAGATGCTGGCTGAATTCGGTTTACGCTTAGAAAGAGGGATGATGATTAAATCTTGTCCAATTTTGATCCATCGGTATAGATGGAGTTAGAATACTCTTGTCTTACTAAACTTCTTCTTCAATCACGTCTAGAGGGTACTATATATATGGATGTTTTCTGTATCCCCTCGTAGTTATTAAACAGAACTTGATTGGCCTTCTCCATACCTAGTACTTCCATTTCGAAGATGCTGGCAGAATATTTCGATTGATTAGAGTTAAAAGTAAATTAAACTCTATATAAGTAAAGAAAGCATCGAGGCTGCAGGGTAATTAGTTGACTCTCTGTTCTGCTTAACAGCCATCTGTCAGTTAAGTTCCGATTAACTAAATTAAGGCCCCTTCTTTTGCTAAAAAATCCTTTTTTTTAACCAGAGATGAACTGACAGGTGGTTGTTAACCAGACGTTGAAAAATTGCTCCAATATTTGTATAACTCTTTAGTACTTGAAGTAAGTACGTTTGATTACGTATTAAGCTTTGCTAAGTGCACCTGCCAAATGAAATTATCTCAAATTAACTAA